GGAGAAGTACTTGATATCCATGTAAATCAACTTAATAATTTGTAATAATCAATTGGAGGTTGTGGTGGTGTTGTTAAGTTTGGAACAAACAAAACAAATACTAAGGTTAATGAGGAAGTCTGAATCTCCAGAATAAGAATGGGCAAATGATGCATTTGATGGAAAAGATCAACTTGTAAAATTCTAGCACTTATAGGAAGATAATAAAAGAGAAATTGGCATTAATAGATCCATCATAACATAGTTCGAGTATGTCAGGTTTCTCCTTCAGAAAATATGGCCTTTTCCTAAAAATGATACATATATGTTAATATTTCGTCATTTCTTATATGATTCATTTTTACAGTCCTCTCATATCAGTCTTAAGGTTCTATATACTGTGTGCATTGTCTAAATTAGATTATGCAATAAGAAGTGTCTTTGCTCTGATTCTTTAGGTCTATCATATAAATCCTAATGCTTTAGATATGACAATACAGGATTATCTCGTTCAACGTCTGAGGGATTCTTGGCAAAGACCTTTTCATCCTTTGGAGAAGTCAAGAAAAGTAAAAGAGATAAGATGTTTAAGTCAATTATTTGACAAAAAAGGGAATAAAACTTATACTACTTGTTCGATAGCATTAAGTACTGGTTGTCCCTCTGCCATTCTGCAGTAACGATAATTACAAGCAAAAGTTCGAAACAGTCTCTGGGACTTGCATATATATGGTTTGCCCGTGAACAAGATGCACTAATGGCGGTAAAGGAGATGAATGGAAAGGTGGTTATATTTTATTTAGCATTTAACTTTCAAATTCTAAAGAGCTCTGTGCGTCTGCAATATTTCTATTCTTAATTTGACCCTTTTTCTTGTAGTTTCTTGATGGCAGGTTTGTTGCTGTCACAATTGCAGAAGCTGAATCTCCTTCTAAACAGGTAAGAGCCAAACCATACAGATTTTGACTCAAATACTTGTGAAGTTGCTTCAGGAGGCACAGGAAGACATGGTTTCATTAGAGTTGATCACAAGTTTATGTAATTTGGTTTTAGGTGTATAATTCTTTGGTTACAAATACCTTTCGTAGTTTTGATATGTGATGTACAATCTATTTTTCTAATATATTGCCTTATATGAACACTAATTTTCATGTTTTCTAGATAATGTGAATATTTATTCATTCAGTCATGATTGACTGGGCATCCGTGGACATGTCTATTTCCAATTTTTCAATCCAAATATTTCCTCAGAGAAAGGTGGACAGGGATACAACTTCAATGGTGGCATAGCATCACTAATCAGTTTCACCTTGTGTCCCACAATCTTATCCTGGTCACATCAGAAAAATTGCAGAATTCTGGACCACTAGATCAAACAGGGATGCTGATGCTGATGCAGAATTCTGGACCACTAGATCAAACAGGGATGCTGATGCAGCTGATTGGCCTCTTATCTGGGGTGGTTTCTTCTCGTGCAAATCTAAGGTGAAGTCTGTGTTGTTAATTGCACGCATATAAATGCATACATGATCAAACTTCTTGATTTTTGGCTGTGGGTTTTCATTTCAGGTGTAGTGTTCATGGATTTAAACTTCTTGATTTTTAGTTTACTGATGCTCAAACTTTGGATAAGACCTAATCAGAGAATTTAGTATTAGAAGTCCAAGTCACTCAGCATAACTGGTTCCCTGGTGGATCTTTCTAAAAGACCCCGGGGGTTTCTATGTTTTATTGTTTTGGAGTTTTAAGAACTGGTTTGGCTGCTATAACATCAGTCCTGCAATTATTCAGTTCTTGAGAAAGCAGCCTGAGCTTCTTGCCTTGGAACTTTTGCACCTTCTTCCTGGCATTAGAGTTGACCTCATGAACATAAACCCATGTTCTGAAGTTAAACCTGATTAAAGTGAGGTTAATCAAGTTAAGATAATGCAAAGTTGATGCACAGGTAAGATTTCAAATATGCTTGGCACGGGTTTAAACAGGTATCTGATATCAGTCACTAAGAGACTTAGTTTCTAAGCAATAAGAAGCGAGTCCTGACACACTTGCAACTATATATATATATATATATATTAATTAGCTAAACATATTTTAATGTGCCTTTGCTAAGATATCCTAGTGGTTAATGTGTCTCAACTTGAAGTTTCTATGAGAGTGTTTTATCATATGGTGCTCCTCTATTTGGTTATTACTAAGGGTGTCCATTTTTTCATACTATAACCAATATATTCTTTATAAAAAAATGATAGCCAATTTCCGTTGACCCCATTTGACTCTCGGGTTTTTTTTGGGTTGAATGGGTTTGTTTGACTTAAATCAGACTAGACTGGTTCAATAAAAGCTTTAAGTATTTGATTCTTTCCTACCTTGATTGTCTTTCTTTTTTTCTCAAATTACCCTACATTAGGTCACAATCAGCTAATGCAATAGCAATGTCTCCTAATGCAATACAATAATAGCTTAATGTCTCCTAAGCTATTATTGTAGTTGTTGCCTAATCTTAGTCCTATCCTAATCTACTGTGAGTACAAGCCTTAGCTCTTGCTAAAGCAACAACAGGTCATAGTCATAAAAAGGAGAGGAAGGCACTGGCTTCCTACCCCATCATTAAAGAGGAGATGAAGGGGTCCCATTGAGACTCGGTGGTGGTGTCATCATCGTGACTTCTTACCCTGTCGTCATCATAAAAGGTTATCATAGTGGTCACGGTCATCGTCGCCAACGGGGCAGGCGATGGTTGTCACCTTCTTGCTTGCAATATGTCAAACTTCCCACTAGTTGTCATTGTTGTGGGCTGTTGATTGAGCATTGAAACTTATTATCGTCATCACCAATAGTTCGTTATTGTTGCCTTCCCACCAACCGTATGTCGACTTTCTCATTGGTCATCATGGCTATGGCCACCAGTTGAGCCTAAGTAATGAGTGGTCACCAACATCGACATTCTCCTTTCCACTAATGTCTATCGTCGTCGTCATCAACGAAGTCATATATTGAGTCTTGGTGACAAGTACAACAATAGAGCTATAACTTATTGATCGCCAATGTCCTCATTCCTATTGGTCATTGTCACCTTCAACAAAGCCTTATAAAGCCTTGATGATTAGTAGTTTATCGTCGTACCCTCACTTAGCTTGCGAAGAGTGTGAAACATACAGGCAATTTTAGATTTAAAAACCTAACGATAAGATTACCTTACCTCCAATCAGTATAAAATAACTGTGTAGAAGGAAGAAGACTAAGATAGATATAAGACATAATGGCAAGATGCCTAGAAGGTGTTCGAGGTATTAATAATTAGGTCACAATTGATGATCATACAAATTTTTACTAGTTGTATAAGTTAACATTCTCAAATGGAAAACAATGTGGTATCTTCGATTTTTTATATAGCTTAGTTTTGATTAATTTTTGTTCTCTACATTAGCTATAGGAGATGATTTTTTTTATATAGTATTACCTATACAAGTCTACATATATAATTTTTTGGCAAGTGAGTTGCAACATTATGAAACATTATAAACTTGTGATAATTTTGAATCTTGATTTATCATTTTCTAATTGATGTTACAATCCTTGTTATATTTTTGTTTTTGATGATTTGCAGAGTGGATTTTAATTTAGAATATTTTTTTGTTGAGATATGTTTTGTTCATATCATCACATGCCAAATTCCATTAATTATACTAAAATTATGAAAAAAATTAAAAATTACTATTAATCAACTTAGAATCATGTTATGGAAGTTCTAGAGAATTTGAATCTGATTTGGGTGAATTTTAACTTAAGCTATACTTGAGTTATGGATAGGACACGATTACGATCAAACATTTGATCATAGTATGTGAAATTTCATTAATTATATTAAAATTATAAAAAAAATAAAAAATTATGATTAATAAAGTTAGAATCATGTCATGGTAGTTATGAAGAATTTGGTTTTGATTTGAGTAAATTTTAACTCGACTTACAAATAGGATAGACTTATGATCTAACATTATGATCATGGCCATGTCAAAATCCTATTAATTATACTAAAATCATATAAAAATTAAAAAATTAGTACTAATCAATTTAAAATCATGTCTTAGTAGTTTTTGATTAATTTAGATCGATTATATTTATTGTAATTTGAGTTACACTCAGATCATAATTTATGATCTAACAGTTGTACCACTTACACTCAATGCTCTATTGACCGGGTGGTGGTGCCCGGTAGTGGTGATGCATATATATATATTATGAGGTATATTATGGAAGTATATGTACATGCTACAATATGTGATGTGAGAGTATACATTTATATTATAACGTGTGGTCTAGGAGTACATGTATATGTTATGATATACGGTGTAGGAGTACATTTATATATTATGATGTATGGTATAAGAGTACATGTATATGCTATGACGTGTGGTATGAGAGTGTATATATATATTATGACATACGGTATGGATTGCATGTATATATTACGATGATGTACGGTGTGAGAGTGCACGTATATATTATGATTTGAGGTATAGAAGTTCATGAATATACTATAATTCCTATATATGCATATACGCATTTTAAGTTATTTCAACATAGAATTTTATATCTTTATTATGCTTATGTTATTTGTTGGGAAACTTAGACAAAGTATCATATGTATAGCGGAAGAATATAGAACAAAATATCAAATTTCTCAAAGAAAAAAGTTCTCGTCATTGTGCTAAGATTGGTGCGTAAAACAAAACACAAAATCGAAACTACACGTATCAAACGAGATTTGTTACTAAGGGAGATCATATACCCTCTAGGCCTAATATCGAGCTAGCCGTGAGTCATACCTATCAGAACTCCTTCTGACTTAGTGAATTATCATCTCCATAATAATTCACTTAACTCATCGATTACGGACGTACTAGGCCACTACACCGTAGTTCCTAGGTGATACATGGGAATTCAATCCATTGGACCTGTTTGTCCTTAGTTACCATAGTTACCATGTATCTATAGTCCCTCATCCATCTAATATCTCATAGACTGTATACCGGGTATAGTGCTGTCAAGCCTATACGAAATCTACTCAAGTCTTGCTCTAATCGAATTCTCTTGGAGAACTCTTTCTCTCTCAATCCGAATGATCATAGCCATAGATCTGCCCAGACAAGAACACATAAGATATTCTATTGAATCTCGGATTTTGATGATGAAATAAATTAATGAAGTTATGATCTAATGTGTATTTAAGTGATGTAGGATTATCTTCGATCAGAAAAGGCAAATTGATTAAAGTAGGAAGAATCAAATGTTGGGCCGGAGTGAACATGTCAGAAGATTGGACGTTGGGCTATAGGATCGATCGATGTGTCGATAGAAAGACTTCATACCATGAGTTCGGGCATTAGGCCGAAGGATCAGACATTGCGTCAAGGAGATCATATGTTGCGGAAGGTCAACATATCGATTAGGCAATACGCCGAAGGAGAGGACGATACGTCGAAGGATCGAACGAAGTATTAGATAAACCAATGACATGTCTGACAACATAGGATTCATGCTTGTAATCATTTATCTAGATTGAAGTAGTTTAGGGGGCTAATTGAGTTAGTTTTTGGTGTAATCATACTAACTTAATTAGGAGTCAATTGAGCCTAAATTGAGATTATTTTGTGCTAAGAGGAAGGCACATTCAGTGACCCAAAAGTTGGGTTAAGCGATGGCACCGCCAAACTAGCAGTGGAACCGCCTATGGGCTGAAAAAGTCAAAAGCCCAATCTATGAGGTTGTCAAGCGGTGGTACCGCCTAGTGTTAGACTGATAGATGGTGGTATCGCCCAGTACTGGCAGTATCTTGAAAACCCAGGATGAAATTATTTTGGCTCCAAATTTGAATCCATTTGGGGCCTATAAATACCTCACTCATCCCTGCTCGGTTTACATAAGAACTAAGACCAAAAAACTAGAGAAAACGTTGTTGTAATCTTGTGAGAATTCCCCTCCTCTTCTCTAAGTTAAATTTCAGTTTAAGGAAGGGGTAAGTGACTTGTAAAGATTATTTCCTAAAGTTGTGAAAATGAGAAAAGGGTTGTAAGAGAGTAATTGATCTTCGCTCGTAGAAAGAAGATCGATAGTGAAAGTTGGTGGCCTCAACGGACGAGGAATCGAGAGTGGACGTAGTTCATGACGATCGAACCACTATAAATATGGTGTGCCCTTTTCTTTTACTGTTTACCTATATTATGTTCTTATTTAACTATATACTACTTTTACTTACACTCTTATGAATGTTTTTAACTTTAAATGAATTTCTGTTACAGGCTTTATCGAACGAAAATTTTTAAACCGATATTTTTGACCAAAAGCACTATTCATCCCCTCTCTTAGTGTCCATTTTGATCCTAATAGTTGGTATCAGAGTCTCGTTACTCTCAGTTGATTTAACACCCAAGAGAATGGCTTTTACCGATAATATAGAGGGTCACTCTATCACTCGTCCTCCTATGTTCAATGGGACAGACTACACGTATTAGAAAATACGAATGAGAGTTTTCTTACTTTCTAGGAACTTTGATTTATGGAATATTATCGAATATGATTTTCAACACCCCTCTAAACCTATGAATTAATGAAATGATTTTGAGAAAAAAATTATTTTTATTAAATGCTTTGTTTTGTGCTTTAGATAAAAATAAGTTTAATCGTATTTCGATATACGAAACTGTATATAACATTTGGCACACTCTTGAAATTACACACAACTAAAGTTAAAAGAATCTAAAATCAATCTTTTAATGTATAATTTTAAATTATTTCGAATGAAACCAAGTGAAATCATTATCTCACATATATACCCATTTTACATATGTTGTCAACGATTTAATAACACTTGGTAAATGTTTTTCTAGCCTTGAACTTGTAAATAAAATACTAAGATCCCTTCCAAAAAGTTAGAATCCTAAAGTGACGGTAATATAAGAGGTAAAGGACATAAATAATTTTGCTTTTGAAAAACTTATCGATTCTTTAATGACCTATGAAATGATTTGTTATGACACATGATAAACACGAGAACAACATTCCAAAGAATATGAAGGATTTGATACTTAGAACTGAAGAAGTCCACTTAGAAGAATACTCCAAGTGATGATGATGATGATGATATTGAACTCCTCAAAATAAAATTTAAGAAGTTCATAAAACAAGAATCTAAGAATAAAAATAAACTTAAAAATGATAAAATAACTTGCTATGAAACCAATTGGCCAGAGTATACAACTCTTTGTGATTCTCGTCCTATTTGACCTCCGAACCACCATGGCCTCAAAGGACTCGATCAATCATGATGTTTGGTTAAGTCATTATCATTATTAAGATGAGTTCGATTCAATGATATGCCTATAAGGAAATCTAGGGGCGACATCACATGCGCAACATAAGAACATAAAATAAAAAGTCTAAATTTCCCAAAAAGGCGTTCGTCGTCGTACGAATATTGGTGCGTAAAACCCGCGAAACTAAAAATCACATGTGAGATAGTTGTGTTACCTAAGGAGATCACATATCCCTAAATTCCTACATATCTGTGAGAGATGATGAAAGATGTTAAATGTCATCTTCTCTAGCGATGATTCAAAAGGTAGGGGCTGCGAAGACATTCCTCAACTCGTTGCTCAAATCTCTAAACCTACTATATGAGAAGAAGGGGAGATGAGAATAGGAGGTGACAACTAAGAAGTATATGACCTATGGGTCTTTGGTTCTCTCAGATCTTCTATCTACTTAACCCTAATGGATCTTACCTTATTAGGTTTTTATCTTCATCCAATTACCCAAGTATATTAGATTAGTGAATCTCTATCCAATAATCTCTCAATAACTCCTATTAGATTTCATCTATATGATCGAATAATTTAGGGGTTTATTGTATATCTAATAAGATATAGGCTCAAGCGAATATTTTATATCCAAACCTCTATTAATTTCAACGCCTATCATATATGTGTTACACTCTAGGCTCAATATCGAGCTGGCTGTGAATCATACATGTTAGATTCTAACTCAATAAAATATTATTTTTATAATAATTAAACTAATTATTATGAATAATTTTGACGATTTAGACACGTTATCCATGATTGCAAGCTTCTCGTCATGGTCCAAAAGTTAAACCCATACAGATCAGCAATAGACCAACTGGATCAGCAATAAACCTAAAGAAAGATCACTAAGTTGGCATGAATAATTTTGGCTTGATGGTTGATATCCCTGTGTTTATTTTATTTTTCTTTGATTGCCATTGGCAGCCACTGCTGTGATCATAACAGTGACCGGAAAGTGATGTTGGGTTGACTTTACTATATGCAAGTCATACTCCTTTTTTTGTTTCTCTTTGGTCGAAGCCCGGCAGTTACCAACCAAGTTCATACCCAACCAACCATTCCAGGTCATATAACACATGGTAAATGACTATCGAGAACATGCAGCTGCAATTCGAGTGGTTCCGATTAGAATCATCATTTTATTTATTTATTTATTTTAAATTTACATTAATTTTAAATATAAAAATTATAATTTTATGTTAAATAAATTTTAAAAAAATAAAAATGAAAGTAATAATGTCGTTATGAGTTTTGTAAAAGTTTAAAAAACCTCTTATGATTTTGAAGTGTTAAATTAATTTGTGTAATTATATGAACATATGATAAACATTTATTTTTGTGATTGTATAGAATACAACACTTAACAGATTTATAAGTTGTTCTTTCGTGAGTTGATTTCAGATTTTATTATTTAATATAGTATATGAATTTAAACGGGTTTTATGAATTATGAAATTATGGTGTGAATTACTTGAATGTTTTCTCAATATCTTTTTGGATACTGGAATGAATTGTTGATCTGAATTATAATATCATCAATTTAAGATAGAATCAACTTTGAATTTAAAAATTGGAAAGGGCGTGATAGAGACCAAACCAAAATCAAAATCAAAATCACAAGTTCTATAATTGACGATTCTGATTTTTCAAATCTAAGAACTAAAATCGAATCCGACCTATCCATAATAAACCTTAGCTGGCAAATCATGGGTTAGCAATAACCCAAAAGATTAAGCAGTAAAGAAAGGATTCAATATATTTATAACCTTCAACAACATGAATATGCTTGGGAAGCACAAATCCACGTTGGCCCTGTGACTCAGCCACCTGAACAACTTGATTAAAACAAATCCAGCTTGACATGAAACCAAAGCCTCACACTTTCCTGATGGAAGAGCCGAAGTACAAAGGAAACTAAGCATGCTTGAAACAGAGGTATTCCTCAAAAGTAATAATAACTTCTGTAAGACTCACTCTATGGATATTAAACATTTGAGGCAGAAACTTGTAAGAAGCAATATGGAACTCTCAGCTTTCGGTGACCAAGAACAGCAGAAAAAAAATAAGTTGTTCTATGATCAGATATACGAGTTGAAAATCTTTCATTTTACAAGGGACAACTATTTGCTAATCCCCATCATAGGTTGTGGATTTATACTTCAAGAAAGGCCAAAAAACTCCACCATTTGTGTTGATTAATTTTGCATTCTCAACATTATAAGGAATCATAAATTCAAGCATGTAGTAATTAAAACCAAATCTTTAGAATTACTAGTAGTTTCAACGAGTCAGGAAGAACATCCATCTTCCAAAGCAACAACCATAAGTTTCAACACAAGGTCTGAATTACATCTTAATAGACAGTCCGACGAGACCATTGAGTGAATAAGAAGTATTTTAGTTCACATGTTCTTTCTTGACGTGTTGGATAAACCAGTTCAGCATGTCCTGATGTGCCTCTTGGGCGCGCTTAACAGCTGCAGCATCATCGGCTTTGTGTCTGACAGTCCATCCATGAGCAACCCCAGGAAATATCTTTACAATGTGTCTTTCCTGACAAATCATGTGGCCCAAAATCATATTGGATCACAGAATGTTAGCATATATTTTGAGGGGTCCATTTAGCAGATTAATCAAATAGATAAGCTAACATTATTTGATATTACATTTAAGATGCATGTTCTGTAATTTAGAGTCCAACAACATGACTAAATTGACCTGAAAATGCTGCCATAGGTGACTTACCTCAGATGTTAAAGATAAAGCCCGCTCAAACTGCTTCAACAGTTCAGGCGGAGAAATATGATCATTCTCAGCCCCAAGTATTGAAATAGGACATTTAACACCTGGTAAATGGTGAAAACAGATCGTCTCAACTCTCAACAATAAAAACATGTTAAGAAAGCATGAGTTTGACCAATTCTTAAAGGAGGGAATACCCTTCACATCATCAACATTTACAAAAGAAGGATGGCAAAGGACAGCAGCTTCAATCTCACTGGACTTTGCTAATTCGAAGACAACTTTGCCTGAGATACAAGAAGTTGTATTTCAGTCAATAACATAAGTTATTCAAGTGTTTAAGGCTAAATAAAGGTCTAGGACTACATTTTTCAGATCCAAAAGATACAGTAATTTTCCACTGTAATAACATCTGGGTCTTCACAATCAGAGCTCAAAGTGCATGCATAAAATATCACGTGAGACTCACCTCCCCAGCAGAAGCCAGCGGCCCCAACTGCAGATATGCCTTTGTTCTTTAGAGCTGCAATAATTGGTTTTGCATCTTGACAGCCTTTGTCCTATGAAGGCAAAAAAACCTTGTTGTTTCCATGCATCAATATTTATGTTAAAGCAATTCAAAAGTGATCTAGTGAAGATGTCATTTTGTATTCTTTTCAGTCAAACATTATATGAGACGATTTTTTATCCATTGTCCACATTCTGAATTTGTATGCTGAAACCCCAATTGTACCAGTACCATAGGAATTAGAGAGAAAGTAAACTACAATCACCTAATAGGACACTAAAGGAACAGGAGACAGTCCCGGGCTGAATGCACATAACATGAGCCAAAATCTAGTGTTCTAGACAACGTATGGATAAACTAGATCATGATATGCATGTCCAATTTTTCTTCTCCAATAGTGTGTTTCAGATATTAATGGCAAGCAAGAACACATTTTGTGCCATACTGCTCTATGAACCATTCCAGTGAGAATGGGATGCATACTGCCTTTGTACCAGGGGTATCCCTGTCCTATGTCGAACAATAATATACTATTCTGTAATTTAAGCAACTCAACAACGAAACCAACCCAAGCCACTCATACTGGCCCAGTATATATCCGGTTAGGTTCGATAAACATCACATAGCCTGCACAGACCAGTCTAAAATTATGTAGTCATAATAGATTGGTAAACATCATGCAGCCTACACAGACCAGTTTAAGATGAAGTCATAATAGACACTTGCCGAATTGGATTAGGCTCATAAAGAAGAGGAACAAATGGGGTATAGCTGTCTGCCTCCAGCCATTTTTCTCTCCATGATATTTCTTGGCTCTTTCTCATTCCTTTATTTTCTTTTTCTATTCAAGTGATATGAGTCAGTACCCAGTATAATAAGGTAATACAGGGTCCAGTATTAAAAGTAGAATCCTTCGTCACTAGGTGCGATTAATTTTAGAAGACTAGTTCAAGGCCACACCCCAAAAGACCCAATAAACATAGGAAACTATAGCCAATGCTGATCCTAAGGTATCAGATCTGATCAGCTTAGACCACGCAGGAAAATAACAAGCAAACAAATGCTGAAATGCTTAAGCAAAATATCTACAGCCAGCAAAAAAATTAGAGGCTTAAGAGATGACAAAGGAAAATGCTCAAGAAGACCCGCTAACACTAAAGAATGAGATCCATATTCCATAGAAGATTCAACATTCATCATGAAAATCTCAAGTACCTCGAGAAAACACACACACACACACACACACACACACACACACACACACACACACATATATATATATATATACTTATACCATATCTCAGGTACCTAGAAAAATCTCTTGTTGACTCCTTCAACTTCCGATCTCCTTGGCATAAGGTCCGATCCTTCGGCCCGATGCCCGAACTCATGGCACGAAGCCTTCTGTCGATACGTCGATCGATCCTATGGTTCGACATCCAATCTCCTGACATATTTCACTCTGGCCCAACGTCTGATTCCTTCTGCTTTTATCAATTTGCCTTTTTTGATCGAAGTTAGTCCTGCGTCACTTAAAATGCAGATTAGATCATAACTTTATCAATTAATTTCATTATCAAAATCCGAGATTCGATAGAAAGCACCTTATCTAGGGTCTTTCAAGGTCTTGTTTCGCCTGAGTATCTAGGTAAGCACTACGATGCTTTATAACAACACTAACTTATACACACACACACACATACATATATATACATTCTCCTCCCTCTTTTCATGTCATTACTCATTATCTACGTCTATTTTCTCTTCTATCTACTGCTACTTGAATCAACAGCACGTTGGTAATTATTTTCAACTCGTTCAGTCCAAAATTTGAATTATTTGTTTCAACTCAATCACTTTTGCCCTAAAATAAATATGCCAATTCAATGTGCACCAAGGTGTAGCTCAATAGTCCTTTGTAAGTACAAATTCATCTAATCTCACTGTGGTAGGTGTGTTCATGATAATACTGGAGCATGCACCACAAACCATGTTCTAATTGATCTCAAAAGAGTTCCAGAAGTGCAGGATGAAATCACTCAGTACAAAAAGAACTTGCAGTCTTGATGAGGGTAATAATTGCGATAAGACTCACGTGACATCAACTGCACCAGGTGACGCATCACACCTCTGTCAACTTGATGAGGCACCCGATCAACGCGAACCGGAACGCCTACCAAGGCACATTAACACCCCGCTCAGGCTCGATCCCTCACGCCACGCCAGTATCGATGTCAGACGCTACCAGGAGTACGATCCTGTGGGCAGGCACATCAGGCGACGGTAACTCCCGCTATAAAAACCCTCGTGCTCCGAGGGAGAGGGAAGCGAAAAAACTTAGCTAAACAAACCCCCTGTGACTATCCACTAACTTAATCGTCGGAGGGGTCGGGTCGAGCTTCCCGACTCGACCTGTGTGCAGGTGCGAAGACGGTGGCCTCCCACTAAACGCCCTGGCCAGGAGCCTCCTCCCGGAGAAAACGACGACCCCGTTCCGATCGGACCATCGTAGCCGGCCACCTCAACGGACTCAAAGGTCGTCCCGGGAAGATCCCCCCATCATCCGGACCCGAACCAAGCCGCGTCGGCACCAAGGCCACGGCTCAAGGTTGTTTACACTATCATTTTGCCGCTAGAAGGAGGGCCCAAAATGTCGGGTGATCACCCGAGCAGCTCAGATGAGCCCGCGGCTGAGAGGTCGCACCCGATTGGAGCCTCGGGGGAACATCCCCCGCACGGAGATCATCGTGACGAACACCCTGCCACGACCTCAGAGCGCTATTGGCGGATATTCAACGACCTGGGCCTGTTTCCGCCCCACGGCGCCCCCGCCGACCCCTCGCCCGTGTCGTCCGAGGCATTTCAGGACCTCGCTCATCAAGTCCGAGCTCTGACGGGTATGGTGCAAACCATTATCCCGCTCGTTTCTCATCCGGCGCACCCGCCTGCGATCCAACCACTGCGGCAAGCCGCCCGTTCGGGCCCACACGCCACTTCCGGAGCTCCCCACTTCGCCTCGGGTCTGATCGGCCCCACTCGGGTATCGAGTGATGGCAAACCCGAGCGGCCACCCGAAACCCGAGGCATTCTCTTCGGATTCTACGGACTCCCTGCGGGCCCAGTTGCGCTTCGTCAGCCAGCGACTCGACGAGGTGCAGAAAGAGGTTCGCAGGTCTAAGGGAGAGCTCGGGGAGGACGCACATCAGGGATCTCCGTTCACACCCGAGATACAGGATCAGATAGTCCCCTCGAACTTCCGGCTCCCCTCTCTGGACACATATGACGACGCCACCGACCCAGCGGACCACGTAGCCACTTTCCGTGCCCAAATGGCGTTGTATGGAACCTCTAACGCTTTGATGTGCAGGGCGTTTCCCACGACTCTGAGGGGGCCAGCCCGCACATGGTACTGCGGTCTGAAGACCGGGACGATCGCCTCCTTTGATCAGCTCGTCAAAGACTTCGAGCTTAACTTCTTGGCCTACGCCCAGCCGAAGCCGTCCGTTACACTGCTCCTCGGACTCAACCAAAGGGAGGACGAGCCTCTCTCCCATTTTGTGAATCGCTTTACAACACAAATCCGGGGGTTGCCGGACGCTCATCCCTCTCTGTTAATGCAAGCGTTTATGATAGGCATGCGACATTCCAGATTCCTCTGGTCCCTCGTGGAGCGACCCCCCACCACGGTACCAGATATGCTCCAGCGGGCTAGCCAGAACATCGCGGTGGTGGCCTGGGCGGTCGTGAGGAGAAGGGACGACTTTTGGCAACGGGCTCCATAGAAGAGGTCAAGCACCCGCGGTGGCTATCCGATGTAGTCATCGTGAAAAGAAATCTAGGCCCTACCTCAGTCTCTTCCGAGCGAAGGTTCAGTATCTACCTGACCGCCTCCCGGCTCGCGGTTAGCCCCGGCCTAATCCCCTTTGTATCTACACGCCTCGGCCGCAGCCCGCTTGCGCCGTGCTCCTCGGCCGCATGTTGCCCGAGACCACACCTGCGCGGCCTACCCGCCTGCATCGTGCTCCTCGGCTCCATGCTGCCCGAGACCACACCTGCGCGGCCTGCCCGCCAACGTCGTGCTCCTCGGCCGCATGTTGCCCGAGACCACACCTGCGCGGCCTGCCCGCCTGCGTCGTGCTCCTCGGCTCCATGCTGCCCGAGACCACTGCCTCTGCACGGCCTGCCCACCCGAGCCGTGCTCCTCGACCGCATGTCGCCCGAGACCGCTACCTCTGCACGGCCTGCCCGCCTGA